TATCTACAAAAATATTATCAATGGCAGAGATGGAGCTATTTTGAATTCTTGTGGGAAAGCTAACTGTAGGTGTAAGATTAAAGGTTGCTAAAAGAGAATTTAGACATTGCTTACGGCAGCTTCCAGAGAGATAGTCAATATTTATATCCCCACAGATGACAAATTCCGTTTTTGGTTTGTAGAGGTAGTCCATAATGCTGTTTAACCTGTTAATAAATGTTTCAAAGTCACCTGTTGGTGCTCTGTATATTGCTAAAAAAACATAATTTAGAAAAATTTGTATCAAATTGTACAGCACAGCATTCAATGTCCTGCTCCTTGCAAAATTGCACTAGCTCTATCTGGCTAAATTTTAGATTATTTTTAACAAATATACTCACTCCTCTTCTAGCTAAATTATTCATGCAAAAACTACTCACTAGTGTGTAATTGTCTTACCTGCAAGATATCTGGTGCTTTCAAATGATGTTCAATTAGACAAAGAATATGTGGTAACTGGGCATTTTTAAGAGAAATTATCAATTCTTCAGTTTTGGGGGAAAGTCCTCTAATGTTCTGATGGAAAACCAGGAAATTTTTATTTTGATTGTGATCTAAATTTAGGACTGGCTTATCTACAGCGACTTAGATATCTTTCAGGAATTTCGTGATACATTTGGGCCTTAACCTAAAAAAGGCTTAGGTCTTACACCAGTTATTACAGGAATCTTACCAGTATTTGGTTTGCTCCTAATCTCATTGGCAATGATTTGCACAAGCTTCTCCTTACCCCTTGAATTCAGGTGAAATCCATGTCTGGTGTGGTCATACCTATTCACAGATGACACATCAATTAATCCAATGTGTGATCTGTCCGCATTAGTATGTAAGCTGTTTCTGGCAATGCTGTCCATATCATTTTCAATCTTGTAATTTAGGTCGCTGTCAAGGCTATTTCCCGGTCCTCCCACTATAATTACATTATCATCCTTAGTGAAATCTTTTCTTAGTGTTTCTAGTTGCCCAACAACATTGCGAAGTGTAGCATTGGGTTTGAATATATTTGTAACCATATATTCATCCCCTAGGACCAAGTGAAGACATTCACAGGTCCCCTACCATGACTACTGCCTAAAAGCAGGACCTTCTTACATGTTTTATTCTTAACAATTGGTTTTGCAACTTTTTTCTTTAACTAAGCAACACCTGAAGGTTCCAACACAGTCAAAGCCTCAAATTTGTTGCTCAGTTTCACGGAAAAGTCTTAACACTGAACTGGAGAAAAGACTTTTGTTTCTGTGCTGTGATTTGGCCTTAACTTTAGCCCAAAGAGTGGACGAATAGTTATATTTAATAGTAGAGCTATTATCAACTTTCAAACTAGCAATCTGATCATATGCCAAAGCCAACTCCCTCCACATACCCAAAATGGTTTCCTCCTATTCCCTAACTAACCTGGCCTGTTTACACATCAAACAAAACCATGGCTTAGTTACATCTACATTATTAACTGTGGTGTTGGCACATTCTTTGAGATATTGTGAGGTGGAAGCAACACCATTCACTGAGCCATCATAACTTTTATGTGCCGATTTAAGTATCAGGGATAAATCTGCCTTCCCTTTAATGGTTTAAAAAAACCTAGGCGTGCCTCAACTTCATACTTTTTAAAATTAATTATAACCTAGAAATATTAACACAACCAGCAATATGTTATTCATAATTTTCTCAAAAACTGATCCTTGTAGAAGTAATTGTTTTATAACCCTCTAGTGTCGTTTCACATCTAAATTATTCCTACAATTCTTATATTCTCATTTTTAAGTGTGTGTAATATGTTGCTCCATTTGACATCTCGAGATGGAACACAGAATATACACAAGGAGAGAGGATTCTAGGCACATGCGTCTGCTGTTAATTTCAAACACGAAAAACGACTTTGAGTAGGCCTACATATAGCAATATCCGTCACCTCAATATAAGCATATCAGAAAATAAACACAAAAATAATGCAACTAAATTCAAACTCACCTTGATCTCTCTCTGACCACAAGATGTACATACCAATGTAACAAAATTCCAATGTCCAAGGCACTGCAAAATAACTCTGCCTGTCTTCACTGTGCCGTTGTTGAAGAATGACCTGTGCTATTTCCTTTTTTAATCTGTGACTTAATGTCCACTAGCAGAAATAACATTTATTAATAAAACGTTTCATATTATTTTATCATATTGCACACTGGAAGAACCTGGGATCTTCTGCACCACAAATTAAGACATGGTGAATTCCATGCAGTCTGCATTTACGTAAACACGATTCGTAGCGACCCATATTCTTGACTGACATTCTGAGAGTTCGTAAAATAGGAACCAACAGGGATATCGGAAAGACAATAAAAACATAGTCACCTCAATAATGATGTACATACATACATCTTTATTACATT